CGACAAGCCCTTGACCCAGCGGGCCCTGACCGTGCTGATGGTGGTGAGCGGCGCCGTGCTGGTGTATTTCGTGGTCAGGACTGTCAGGTGAGGCCAGGTCTCCATTGGGCTTCTCCTAGAGTCACCCTGGGCCCGCACATTCACCTTCCTGGGCAGCGCTTTTTTCTGGGACCCATAAAGGCCCCTGTTTGTCTCCCAGATCAGAGCATCTGCTTGAGTCGGAACGTGAACTTGGATTTAGACCTTGGCAGAACAGGTCGAGTTCTGTGTTAGCATGCAAGTAGTTGCTCCCTTTCGTTTATAAATTAATAGTTCACTTCCGTATCTATCACACTGAACCAGAACCATGAACAGGAAGTAATCTGGTATTCCCTTGAGTTTCAACCTCTACTTTATGATACTTCTCCCTTTCTTGTTGTACACTAAACTTTAAATTCTGCCTTTTAGAGATATTTTAAGGGCAGGATTCCCTTTTTAAAATAAAATTTATTTTAAGAATTCCTTTTGAATATGCCTTATAAACCCTTGCACAATGCTGCCACTTAACAGGAAACACCATTTCAATGGATTAGTAGTAATGTAGATATGTCTTATTACAGGTATTTCTTTTATAACATTTTGAAAAGGAAGTTCTCTTAGCAGTAGTATTTTTTAGCATTGGATCGTATCTGTAATCTAAATAATTAGGCTATAGAACATAAACTGGCCTTTTTTTTTAAACCTAGAAAAGCAACAGTTTTTGTCTTAGGTTCAACCTCCTATTCTGCGTATCACAAGGTATTTCAAAGTAAAATGTTATCAATTGCAAAGTAAGATGGGAACCGAATTGCTGATACAGTAAAGAAAAATAATTGAAGTATTGATCCTGCTTTAAAATTAAAGCAAATGTTCTTAGCAAACCTATGAGTATAAGGGTACTTAAAAATTTTCATGGAAAATATAATTAAATGATGAATGGAATTTTCCACAACTTTTTGATGCCCTTGTATATGTCACGTAGGTAAATGGGTGATTTAAATGTTTCACACATATAACCTTTCTAAAATGATATCATCTTTAACATTTTTTGTGCTATATAAAAGTTTAAATCTATAATAAATTAAATTAGCTTTATAAATTTAAGTTTTCTAAAGAATGATGAATTATGGAATCATGTAACTTTCAGATTTGGAACATATATTATCACTTCAATGACACATACTGCTTTATAGTTGAGGAAACTTGCCCCAAAAGGTAA